TCTCCTCTTTTTAGTTCTCTATATACTCGCCACTCCATTCTCAATAAGATCCTAAATCTTCCGCCAAGTCCATTCCCCACTTTACCAATAATTAGGCCGCCTTCCACCGCCTCGGTAAACCTCTCTCATCGATCTCTCTACAAAATATTTCAAACCGACACGGTCCCGTACTGCTCTCCAGTTTGGCTCCCGCCGTGTCCTCCTAGTATGCTCTCCATCACTGTAGAAAGAATGTTTTAACAGAAACGCATCGGTCTTCGCCAAACCGCCCAAGTTCTTCTCCCTGGGCAAGTACATGGCTACAACTTACACCACCCTTAGTGGGCTTCAAAACGGAGACCATTGGCGCAAACTGCCGCAATTAGCAGCTGTTGAAATCCTATCCTCTCACCGTCTCAATTACTCTCTGACATACGCGCGATGAGATAAATGTTGGATACGCGGTAATCCCACGTTGCTACGAATACATATAATACACGTGACGCGCGGAAAATGCATCGATCAAAATGATTTAATTATTTTATATTAAAAATAAGTAATTTCATTATAAATTTAATATTAAATGATATAATTAAAATTAAAAATTTAATAATTTGTTGCATGGGTTCACGTTCTCAACGTGATATTAGAGTTGGGGTCCAAATCTGAATGAGAGAAATTTTCGTGTTGGATCGCGTTACACTCAACTGGTGTTTGAGCCGTGTATGCTTATCAAGCGAGTAGAATTCACAAGGAAATGTTCGAGTACGTGGGTAATTTACTATAACTAAGAAACAAATATAGCTAGTCATTAATTGTTGAACTTGAATTAAATTTAGCATTATCCCTAATGCTTTTAGTTTTATTTCATGTCTTCCGCAGGTTTCTTAGTGCAGCAGTGAATTGATAACTTCATCTGCAAACCATGGAATGGGGCAATGTCACTTTAAGTAAACACTCACTAGATAATGCTAGATGAAAAAGCCACAGGCGAAATCGATCATTGTTTGTGTGAATGAGCACCACTCAATGAGTCTGTGGCTGCTGAAATATCTGTATATGTAATGATCAAATGAAGCTCTGCGCCTCTCCTATACAGCTGCTATCGTCAAAATTCGCAAGTGAGTGCGACTCCCGCTCCAAGTTACCCTAGTGAGGGCGACCTTACCTAGCCTCAAAGTCACGAGTCAATTCCAGACGAATTGCCCCGTCAGTGACGTGGTCTACCAAGTCCAATACCGTGTCCGAGACACAAGGCTACTAAAATACGAAGAAGACTTGTTGGCGGACTACAGCCCATGATATGTCCGTCGGATATCGGAGAGCCAAAAGAAAGAACGTTTTAAGCCCGAAACGGTAATTGAAGGAGGGGTGTGCCGTCGGTGTAGAGTGTTCTCAAGTGCATGGGCGATCTTGTTTAGGACCAAGCCAGGAAGTTGTGTAATGGACGGGATGGCTGTGCGAACAGATGATTGGTTTGACTTATGCTTGTCACTCTCTTCAATGACTCCTCGAGAGTGTGCATATAAAGGTGTTGAGCTCAAAATAGAGAGATGGTTGCCAGATGTGACACTAGGATTTGAATAGTGATATGGCTTACTCTATCCCTTTATAGCTCATGCCTAATTGCCTGGTCTTGAATGAATTAGACTCAGTCGATACACATGTGTTGATAATCTCTCTCTGACAAGTAGTTTGAATTATATTAAGTTCCAACTCCAAGTGTATGCAAATTATTCTAGTCTATGAATCCGTCTAAAGATCTAATTCAAGGCGACTGTACATAATGTTGCACCGTCCTTAGAAATATGAAACACTTTCTTTTATGTGAATTAACGTCAATATTTATGAAATCTCTGGTAATAAAGAATGTTGATGATTAGCACTGGTGAATGGTACTAGAAAAGATGAAAAAACAGGCGAGAAAAAACTTATCTAATTTCAATGGGATGCGCTAATTATTTAAAAAAAAAAAGAACTCGATTTCTCATATTATTATAATTAAAAAATTTCTTATTTTACTAAAAATGGACGGATATTTTTGTAGACTCAAAGTGCAATTTTGTGGAACGATTGCCTTCAAAATGCTTTCAGAAATGGCCTTTGAGGAGGTTCAAGTCAAATATTTACAAACTTGCAGCTAAACCAATCAGGCCGTGACATGAGATCTCTGTTTTTTTGAGTTGACTTTTTAAGATCATAATGAGGATAAATAGGTGGGAGAAATATTATGGAGAGGAAGTCAGTGGGATGAAGCTTGGGAGATTTCATATATAACAATAGAAAACTATGAGGGATTGGTGATGAATATTCATAAAGATGTTTGCCTTTATGGGGTGGATGTGGATTCCAGATGAAAAGAGGATGAATTATTGAATTGCAGAAAAAAAAAGAATGAATTTGCAGGAATTTGATAGGATGGAACATAGAAAGAAAACGGGAGATGATTGCTTTTTATTATCTGCAAGGAAGAAAATTCATGGTTGGAGGTTCTATTATCCTTAACAAGAACAGGAAACCTGAGTAGATATAAAGACGAAATCAAGTCAACATGACTGTTAATATCCCAATTTTAAATTAAATACAATTATGATAATCTAAATTTTTTGGGACGCAGGTTATGCTGCTTGGAGCAACAGAGCGACCTTTTTCAGGCTTTATCACTTGAATTGCTAAATGCCGCCCTCGTGAGCGATGATTGTATTCTTTCTTGATCAAAGTGCGATCGTGCAATTTAGAATTGTTCAATCGACAAGTTTTGGGCAAATCATTGTATAGTGGCTGGACCCAAAGACCATGCATTGGTTGAGTGTTTGTTGTATGCAAGCCCTGCCTGATAAATGCAAAAATGGCCCACTTTCTAATTTTATAAATCAAATTAGGGAGTAACACTCAATTTGTTCCTCAAATTTTAACAGTAATACACAAGGAGTAACTTATTCTTTCTCGTTACAAAATACATATTATACTAACAGGAGTTTTAGTATTGATATTGGTTAAAGGTGCGTAAAGCGGACTTCAGTTTCTATGTGAATACGGAATGAGGTAACTATTCTTCTCATTACTAAATACTATGATTTCTTAACATGGAGATTTTAGTATTGCATTGGTTGGAGTGGTAAATAACTTCAATTTTGGAGAGAATTTAGGAGTGTTAAAACAACTTCAACTCGTGTGGGTAATATGAACAGTTGGAAAGCCGGTTACAATCGTGCGGGTAAATGAAAAAGGATATATATGAGCTTGGTGCGGGAAACATGAAGGATATATATGAGCTGGGGATTTCGTTGATGATGTATCTGTAGCATTGGTGTGGTGAATGGTATTGTTCCCACTTTGCATGTTACATTTGACTTAAGTCACCATTCTTATTTAGCTTTGTTCAAAAATATCAAAGCCAATACGAATATGTATCATTTGTAGGGCCAGAGTTTCAGCATCACAAAACTTAGTGTTTTAAGCTAAAGTAAACCAACTATTATTGGGAATCAGGAAACCACTCAACGCAACAAAACTAGAAAAGCCAGTGCCCCAACATTAAACCAAACGGCCTTCCATTCCATCCATATGCTTACCCCAAACTGTACAAGGGTTCTAAGCACAGTACAGATCATGATAATATACACACATTATTTTGTAAAAAAAACATGAGATTTGGAATTTGTTGCTCTGTTCTGCCAAGATGGCAAGCATTTTCCTTTCCTTACCAGAAAAGAATGGTGTTCTCATTGATTTTACATATTTAATATGTAAATGAATTACAAATCAAATCGTAGTACACAATCCATTTTTAGAAAAAGTAATCAACAGATTCTTCTTGAAATCGCAGGCACTCTTGGCTCTCCATCATTCGTTTCTCTGGTAATATATGTTATATTAAGCACATGTTTTTACAAACAAAAATGTACAAGCAGCCTACAAATGGACTAAAACCAAATCTGGAAATTCAATTTCTTGGACCGTTTACAAATATTATTTACTCCAAATTACCCTCCACTTTCCACTATGTAATTTCTTTTCTTGTTCATGTTGTTCCATACATCAAGCGGGAATTCATGAAATGATTTTTGTAAAAAAAATTATTTTTTTTTTTTTACCGTGAATTATAGTTTTTCAAATTAAAAATATTACCAAAAAGTAAAAAAAGATTTATTATCTAATACGTAAACTATTTATACAAATTTATTTATTATTCCATATAAACATTCTCTGTGAGTAACCAATTATGATTTATATAATTTTTCCTAGGTAATTGTTAATCTTCTGAGGACGGTAATTTTCACTGTTACAAAAGATCAATTTGGTTTCGATTATTCGAATATGTTTTTATTGATATTAAATTCTAAAATTAAATGGTCTAATAATCACTATTAATTAAACTAATAGGTTTTATTCATGCATTTTTAATTACAATTAATTATTTTGAGTTTAAATAAAATTTTGATAGTAATATATGGTGAAAAATTAAAAAAAAAACGAAAGGACCCAAATGATTTACATATCCAAACGTATTGATGATGCAAATTTTAAAATAACTATCCAATTTCCGATCAAATTGAGTTGGTTTGATTCGATGTTTGGTTACAAACCTAAATTGTTTCACCATATTTTAAAACTTCCTCCCACTTGCATTGCTGTTAATTTTTTTTTTTTTTTTTTTTTTTTTCAAGAGGATGCTGTTAAGTTGTCACGAAAACATGCACAATTACTGTTGATAAGATGCTAACGGCCGACGACACAAACGTGTTCAGGAATTTGAATGGGCTAAAGACCCCGGTTTGCATACGATGTTTACTACGAAAGCGAATTTGATAACGAAGCTAAAGATAAAAAGATATATTAAACCCATCGCCAAGTGTGGTCTCTTCTTGCCAAATTCAACTGAGTAAGAGAGCTCCTCTGCTTCCTGCAACTCGGATATTAGCAGCCCAAAACAGCTCTAGCTCCGGGCTCCGCTCGCCCTCAATTTCGAGTAATAATCCCGGGTCATTTATGTACTAATTATAAAATTAAAAAGAAGAATGAAGCTCCCCATCGCGAGAAGAAATTCCAAAGAAGACCGACGGAAGGAGGAATCGAGCGCTATTAGCGCTAGAGTCCAATCACCGACATTATGTCGTGGATGGTGAAGACTCCGAAGAAGTCGCTGTCGAAGCGAGGGAGAAATCGTAATCGTAGGTGTGGATAGCGCGGACGCAATCGATGCGGACGATTACGATGCTCCATTCTCGTGGAAAAAACTTTGGTTTATTTACTGGACCTGGATTTTTTGATGAGCATAGCGTTTTTAAGATCGGGAAAATTTGGAATAGGGATCTTCCAGGCTGGGCGATTGCTGGCTCGCTGCTATGGGCTGCTGTGTGGGGCCACCGTCATGGGGTTGCTTGATCCAGATTGCTATCGGCCCGCGTCGGGTGTAGCCACCGGAGTCACTTGGCGGAGTTGTGTAGAAGGGGTATCCCAATTGCGGCTAGGTTGAATCTTGTGTGTTCATGGCGGAGGTGCTCTTATTGGGCTGATATAGGAAGTTATAGGAAGTGCTATTGCTCTACATATTTTGACAATGGGGGTTTTGCCGCTCTGGGCGGGAGTGGGGATTACAGCGTTGGATTGGGTATGTCATAGTGGTTTTAATTGTTCTTTTTTTCCTTTTTCGGATTTACATATTTATATCATTGCTAGTTTTATTCAACCTGACATTCTTTAACATATGGTTTCCATAGGATTTAGTTCTTATTGAGCCAGTTTTTGGGTTTAAAAACTTTATCATTTTAACCATTTAGGGATGCTTTGTAAGAAGCTTCACGATAAGAGTCATTCAACTTGAGATTAATGATTTTGCATTATTAGGCTTTTTTTTTTTCTGCTTTTTTCCGTTTGTCACTGTTTTTGTTTGCAAAGGTATTCTTTTTCGGCCTGTTCTTAAAGTCTAGGGGTCTTTTTTTTTTTTACTTGGAATTAGTTATCAGTTGCAGTTCATTATGAAGGAATTGAATGATATATTTTATTAATGAAGGATTTTTCTCTCTTTGTGGACAGTTTATGTTTTTGGTTTCTAGAGAATTACCGGAGTGAGGGAATTAGAAGCTGTTTTTGCAGTCCTAATTTGCAACTATGGCCGTATCTTGTGCGTGGATGTTTGGTGACACCAAGCCAAATTGGAAAAAACTTTTAGCAGGTAAGATGCCATTTGGTATATGGAATGAGAGGAGAACATTCTGCATACCAGTACTTCAATCCGTTCTTTCTAATTAAGTGTCTTTATTGGAGCTGGATGGACTAATGTGATCTTGTTTATAGGCATTTTAATTCCAAGATTGGTTCAAAACATTCGCAGTGTGGGTGTTGTGGTTTGTTATAATTGCCTCACAACGTGTTTTGCCACTCAGCTTTGGTTTGCAATCAAGGAAGATTGATGTCAGAAGACAAGGTCGGGTTCAAGGAGGCCTGAATTTACTACTTAATCGAGTCATCAGTTGCTCATTTAGGTTCTTCATTGATCAACTTGTTTTGTGACAACTGTGTTCGCCAAGGATTCTATTGGTACTCAACAGCTAATAGCAGTGTAGGGACTGGTAATGCAGGGCAGTTTTCGGAGAAGAATATGGAGGAGGAGTTTTTCCTTCTTATATCTGGGGTATTGGCTTGTGGGCAGCTGTACAAAGTAGTACGATAACTGGACATATTGCTGGCCAGTTTATTCATGGGAGGTTTCTTAACCTTCGGTGAAGAAAATGGCTGAGGGCCGTTGATAACACGAACGTTGTGCTATTTGCCAATATGATTAGTAGCTATTGTTTTCAACACTTCTAGCTGCGTTGGTATTTTAAATGCATGGGCACTGGAATGGCTTTCGTCATATACAGTCCCTTTTGCACTTATCCCCCTTCTTACCTTGGTGGGCCAAGGAGCAGGTTATGGGGGTCTTTAAATTGGACATGTTCTCGAGGTAAGCTGTTGAATTCCCCACTCTGATTAATCTTTACTTTTGGTGACCAGCCCATTTTGAGTTTATTGACATGTGATTTAGTTTCAAAGAGAAATTGGATACAAAAGGAAAAAACTTTGACAAATTAATTAATGTATTAACTAACATCAACAAACTTCATTTGTTATTGGTTTAATCAGTGTTAAAACCTTTCAAAGAGTTTGCAGCTGGCTTTTGAATTTGATTATTTTGTCACTTATTCTTCATTAAGCTACTTTATTAGAATCATTTGTGAACTAGACTTTTTGAGCTCTTTTTATCAAGACATACACTGGACATATGTAAAAAGAAGAAGAAGAAGAGAGTAGACCTAAAAGTTTTTAGCATCAATTCAATCGGACAGAGAAACTCAGTTTGCCCCGGGCATTTTTAATGCTTTGGGTATTTTATTGCTTTCTGAAATAGACTTCAGAAGTGGAAGATGCCTGTGTTGTGCTTTGCTTTTTTAGTAGACTACCAAGACTCTTTCTCGTAACAGGGATTGGAGCCTTGGTTATAAATAAGGTTTTAGTTTGTGAAACCAACACCCCATTGGCAAAAAATAGGCAGAAAAAAAAGAAGCAATAGGACTGGGCCAACCTTCCCATCTTTGTATATAGATATCAATGGTAGATTAATGTACTTTGACTATGTTATGCACCCTTTTGTGTTGTCTTAGATGATTGAGATGGGCTGGTGTGGCATTTGGGTGCGTCTTAAGTACAAATTATAATAATCATTTTAAAAACCAACAAAGAAGTTGGCTTAGTAAAGCATTTGTTTTGTTTGTGTAATTCCACATGTTGCGCATTCATAGTAGCTCATTGGTGCTGGCAGCCTGTTGAAATGGAGATCTTTGTATCTGCGTGAATGTTAAACATTTTTTGCTTGTCATGAACAAATTGTTAGGATTGTTTCCAAGGTGAGTTAACTTTTACTGATTTTGTTCTTCTAATTTTTTTTTCAATTATTTTGTAGAGACTAGCATGGGACTGTAGCTATCCTGGTTTATTACTGATCAAATGGGTACCTGTTGCTTGATTTCTTTGCATCTGAAGTTAAAGGTTTGCTATTTGGTTTTCTGCCTGCACTGGCACTTGTGGCATTATATAGCATTTATTTATTTATCTTGTTTCCCGTGGTGGTGCTCTCTCTTCTATTGGCTTTAGTTTTAAAATGTCTAAGAGGAATGCTTTATCTGGAAATTAAGTTTGTCCAGTTTCAAAAATTTTCCTAAGATTGGAATTGAGGAAACTGTCTCAAACTCTGCCATATAGAATTGACAGTTGTCGAGACTCTTTCAACAGCAAAACGTTTTTTTCACTGGTCATAACCTGACTATACAAATTTTACTACTGTTCTCAATTTTGGAAAGTTCAACGGATTTTACTACTTTTCTCGTTGTGGGAAAGTGCCAACGGAAATATCTCTTCGTTTGGCACATGGACAGGACCATCTTTGTAGCAAAAAAGGTTAATTACTTGCATTGAATAGGTCCAGGTTTCTAGTTCATTGCAAATTAGGTGAGTTCTTAGTTTATTTCTTAGAACTGTTTTCATGTATCATAGTTGAAATTCTTGTTGTAAGTACTAATTCTATACGAAAGAATGAAGTAAATTTTGCAAAAACTCATTGATGTGTGATAATTATATTTCTTTTTGTAGCTTTATTTATTTTATTATTATCCTCTTCATCTTATCTTTTCCTTCCTCTATTCCTATGTTTGTTTCATTCAGCTTGCTTTTATAACACCCTTTTGTTCTTTGTTGAATAATTTGCTTGCTTTTGGCGTGGAAGAAGAGGATAGTATCCAAGAAGCGTAATGCTTGTGAAAATTTGAAGTCTCTCTTTTGTCATCTGTTTCTCATTTCCGTCTTTCTCTTTTTACGGTACAAATGGACATAATTATTCTCCAGGTTAGTTTTCAGTTACAGATATTAAGCTCGTTTACCTTGGGCGGCGATCTCAAGGTTGGCCACTACTTCGCATTTGCTTTAGTGTATTTAAAAAAATTTAAATTAATTATTTATTGAAGTGTTTCTCCAGCGGCCAAAATCGAATCCTGATTGAATTTTAAAAGGAAATGGAAGCTTTTTGGATCTCTCCCCCTTTCTTTTTTTTTTTTT